ATTCACTAGTGCTGGCTCCTTCTGGCGCAATGCCTGTTGCACTCGTTTCAATTGCTGCAAGTATAGGTCTCCAGTGACCGTTTGGCCTGTTGGTAGCAGTTCATAATGAACCACTTGATGACCTGTCCACCAGACACAAAGCATAATCTTGCGTAGGCGGTCTTGTGGTGTGAGGGACATCATCCTGAGGAGACAACCAATGTCTGGAATGCTTGGGAGTTTCGTACAGAACCCACTTTTCATCACTGGTAAGCACTTGATTGAATAAGGATGCGGTACAGTGGAGAGAAAGCAGCAATATGCAGGCTGCCACTCGTCCCTTGTGGACCTCCAACAGCGTTTGCGGAACCCACTTGCTCAGTTTATATGTCTTACCTAGGTTGTGCAGGTGAAGTCTAAATGTTTCATCGGAAACGTTGAACTGTCTTGCAAGTTCACCACACGTTAGACTACTGTCCTCTTCAATGGCCACCTTCAGGACTCCGTCATTCAAGACCTGTGGTCGTCTACTGTGAGGCTCATCATGGAGAGACAAATCTCCCAACTTGAATTTTCGAAACTAACACCTTGCAGTACCTTCATCCACAGCACTATCCCCAAATGCTTGACATATGCGGCGACTTGATGAAGCTGCTGATAAGCCCACTTTGAAGTCTAAAGCAAACAGCTCCAAACGAGATCTCTAGACACTTCCATCCTTCTCACAGCTGTCCGGCTTATAACTGATGGCCGGGCACGGTGCGCATGTTTTTTATAACGTCTGATGTTCCTACTTCCAGCTGTCCGAATTTGAAAACAATTGCTACATGCATTTTGTATATATTTCAACTTCATTCAATGACTAATCAAAAAACGGACAGAACTTTTTTGGTTACCTTGTAGTTGAGTGGTTAGAACATTCTCTTTCTAAGCATGACAGTCTGGTTTGAATTTCACAATGTTTGATTTGTCAGGAAGGTGTCTCATTGATTTTAAGGGCTTGGGGATGTGATCCCAGCATGCAACACCATTGGAAAGTGCCTGAAAAGCATATGGGTTGAGCCAAGCCTTGAGAGGGAAATTGGGTAGATGGAATTGTTTATCAAAAGTTGTGTTAGCAGTCACAAATCCTTGTAACAGGATTTCAGTGTACTGGCCATGTTCAAACTGAATGATAACACAATTTTATGCAGTCTCTCCTGATAAGGCTTGCTCAGAAATAGTTGCAGTATAGACAACAATCTGCAACAGCAATTGGTCAGCCGCTCTAGTAAACAGGCACACTCGGAAACAGCCAGCCATTTATTTATTTATATATACAGGGTGCGATGGGTAAATTGTCGTCATTTTATATTTTTAATTTCATGCATGTGCCTTGTTTGTTTTTGATTTTGTCAATGTATAACAGGGTCAGTTGGACACTCTGTGAGTAAAAGAGCACCATGATGCTATTCACTCTGCCAGAAATTTGGAAACTGCATTCTGTACTGCTTGGCATTCTAATACGAACATTTCAGAGTGTTTGTGTGTCAATCTGAGGACAGTGCAGGTGACTCAGAAAGAGTTGGGTGAGTCTAATGGTGATTATCAAGGTACAGCAGCTCAGAAAATATATTCTGATCATTCTTATAAGAAAAGAACTACCAAATTTGTTGGTGAGGGCCTCAATCAGCATGGAGGCTTGCATCAAGTGCTTTGAGGAAATAGTTCTGCCCTGGGTCAAGAGGGTGACTGTTGGAAGACTGTATGTCTGGCAACATGACTCTGCACCATGGCTGTCAGAGAATTTCTGTGACCACATCACCCCTTATAACTGGCCATCTAACTCCCCAGACTGCAACCCCCTTGATAATTATGTGTGAGGCGCAGTTGAGTGAGAGACCAACAAAACTCTTTCCAACACCAAAAATGATCTGAAGGCAAGGATTATAGCAGCATTCACCAACTTAAACAAGGAGACTGCCCAAAAGAGTTGCAGGAGATTCTGAAGTCGTCCGAAATCTGTGGTTGAAGCCAATGAAAATTTTATTGAATAAATTTACTTTTTAGTATTTCATATTTTGTATAATTTTGGTCAATATATCTGTTAAAATGAGATGTCATTTTCATTTTTACATAATTTAGATGACAATTTAATCATCAACCCCTACACACACACACACACACACACACACACACACACACACACACACACACACACAGAGGATGCGATGGGTAAATTGTCGCCATTTTGTATTCTTAATTTTGACAAATCAAACTGCTTTGCCAAACTTTTGGTGAACTTACTCAAACAAATTTTTGAGTGTTGTTTCAAGATGACCATTCACAGTGAGCAATCAACATTAAAATACCAGAAAATGTGGAAAAATTTTGAATTCATCCATGTCAAATGCTATTGAACGAACCATATTTACTTAAGAAATGCTGTTCTGTAAGCTTTTCAGTACCAACTTGTATTTGTTTATTTTATTTATTTTGTCCTTAATTACTAAAGTTTCTGACAGCAAATCTTTTATCTTGAAAGTAAACTGCTTATTATTGCCAATTACATAATGGTGTTTTTAATGCATATAGATTTGAAAATACCTTCTGAACAATAACAACCATGTCCAGTTGGAGTTAGCAATCTGTTCGCCCATAAATGCAAAAGAAAGAGCCTAATTATACTATCTAGTGTTGTTTTTAAAATTTAATATTGCATATATCAAGACTAGGAAGGCTACTCATGAATTCCTAAAAATATTGAGTGGAAAATTGACTGATGTCATAATAAAATTTTACTCTTTTGAAAACAGTATCCATGAGTGAGATATTGCTATAAAAAGTTTAATGAACAACACAACTGGCAAACAATGTCCATTTCTTCACAATTATGTTGCTGAGGTTTAGTTTCTTGAACTCTGTATAATTATTTACTTTATCTTAACTTCTAATTTCAATGCCAGTGACATTTTTTAACTTCTATTAAATGTAGATTTATTTTGTGTGTTATAAAGGAATAGACACTGGTTTGTGTATGTGCATACTTGAGGTAGTACTGAAAAGTTCTTGGCCTAAGTGACTTTGTCATATTTGGCCAAACATCATATTTTTTATTTTATTTTTTATGATTCTTGATTCAAGAATTTCTCAATACCCTGCTCCTGTAAAGTAAAATACACACACACACACGTGTGTGTGTGTATGTGTATATATATATATATATATATATATATATATATATATATATATATATAATGTAATGTATGTGTGTGTATAAATGTGTGTGTATATGTATGTATGTGAGTGTCAGTGTGTCGTACTTCTTTTTCAATTAAAAGGATACAACTCTCTAACTTTCAATGGCTCATCTTCTATATAATAAATGCGAATGTCAGTGTCACACATTTTCAACTTTACTCCTAGAGGCCATAGCCCAATACATCGTACACATTTTGTAATCAGACTGACACCATGAGCAAATGAAAAACATTCCAGACCAGATCTGGATCCACAATCCTGAAATTTGGATTCCTAACTTTTCTTTACCGTGATTGTTTTCAGTCTTTTTTTTTTTTTTTTTTTTTTTTTTGCAATTAATTTTTTGTACGATAACAATTTTTATAACTTGGAAATAAATTTGGAAATAATCAAAATTAATTGTGAAATCCTGCAAAGGTCACCAATCAAATAATTGTATGTATGGAAAGTAAGGATGATGTACATCAAATTGTCTTTAAATTAAGTGGCAGCAGAAGAATTATTATTGCTGAACTTTTAAAAGGTAAGCTAAAATATTAATGCAATACTTAGATACAGTGATCAATTTTGAGTTCTTTTGTAGCTTATTGCTGCCTATCGTATCTACTCCTCCCTACTTATTGTGATGAAGGCCCAATCAAGAGCCCTCAGCTGCCCGATAGGCTGGTCTTTAAGCTAGTATATATATATATATATATATATATATATATATATACACACACTGTTGTTCTGGTTACTCTTTTCTGTTTCTGTTCCTAATTCCTCCACCCCAGTAACTTGTGTCTTAGTGGGTTTACTGCCTTGTATGGGGGTGGCAAACCGATTGCATATATGACGTGTGTGTTCAGGAAAAGGTGCTTAATTTCCTTTTTCTTTATTTATCTAAATTTTGATGTTTTGGAATTTAAAAAAATTATTTACTTAGCTTATCTAAATAATAGGTCACAATTGTGAAACACTAAGTGGATATCAAAATTGTCACAGTTGTAAGTTCTTGCTATACTAGTTAACTATTATTACATTTTATGATAGCCTTAAATATTTACTCAGCTTAACTCAGTCTGACTCTAGACCACCAAAACAAAATTGATCTCTTTCCACCAGTAAATGATCTCGGAAAACTATCTTCTTCATACTTCCCTGATACAATTTTACTTTGTTTCATTTATTAAAGCCTTACTGTAGGTTAAGTAAATACAGCTACAATGCTCATATTTAAGATTATCCATGTTTTATTTTATTGTTGATGTAAGAATTTTCAAATATTTATTTCTGAATGGATGAATTAATATGCCTTGATCTATTCAAACTCTAATAACCTCCCCTTCTACTAGCCAAATATAGGAATGTTTAAAAAAAATTGGGTTTAACACTTAGAAATTGTGTTACTTGATTGAGCTATGGGGTAATAGGCTAGTAGATAAAAAAGGTATTGGTTCAGTGAATTTGTTTCCTGGTATCAGTGAGTTCAGTTAGCCTGAAAAGAGATGGTTTCTATCTTGTCTTAGATACACCAGCTGCTGCTATGGCTGTAGTTGGTGCAATTAATGAGTTATAGGACTCCTGATGATGAGTGAGTTCAATCCCTGGATCAATCAGTGAAAGTAATATACTCTTCAAAGCAAAAAACAAAATTAGTATCATAATGATAAAACTAAGTGTTAACTGATATTGTTTTTTTGTTTGTTTTTGTTCCCCCCACACACTTTTTTTTTTTATTTGTAAATGTCTTTTAACTTTATTGTTTATCTTTGTTTTCTTTCTCTCACCAACACCTTCAGGAGCCAACACAATGGAATATTGGATTTTTCTGATGGTTTACTGTATTCTGGCATTTTTCCTTATTTCCTGCTGGCAGTATTATAATAGCCGCTTGGAGAAACAGGCAAAAGTGGCACTTCCATACCCTATACCATGTAAGTGATTTTTATTTTTATTTCCATGCAATACTATTATGTCACGTGACTTTACTAATTTATTCACTAAACACATTTCTTTGTTGGAGAGTTTTCAAAAGACAAGCAAAATAATTTGTAAATAGTTATTTACTAAGAATAGCTTCATTTTGGCACAAGACTACAAGAATGAGTAGAATGGGGTACACATCGATGATCTAACTCGCTACTCGATAGTAATGAGTTACATGACCTGTTTGCTAGCTATTACATTGAAATGGAAGAAAATTCACCATTTTGAAACAATAAATGGTAGTCAAAAACAAATTTATTTTTCTCTTCAAGGGATTTTTTTTTTATAAAAATTTTTTTTCACTTTTCTTCTCATTCCAAGTCTATTATACACTTGATTTCCATTGGTTGTAAATCTCTTGACTTTGTTATTGAAGGAAAGTCTGGGAGACAGTGGTCAATGATAAAAAGCTGAAACCTTGGTTATGTATGCTAAAGTTATGGATGTTAACAGGGTTGTGTGTATTTTAGTTGAAGGTGAATGTTCAATATGTAAACAAAGAAGATAAAAGTATCCAATAACTGTAGTTTCTACTTAGGACATTTATTCTTTTTATGGAGACTGTAGTGAAACAAAGTTCTCAGTGTCTCTTTGTTATGTCTTTTCCTATTTTTGTTCTGAAGTAATTTAGGATAACAATAGTTAAAATAGTCAAGCTTGTCATCTTTGCAATGAGCTGAAATGACCAATTCCCTTACTTCATGAGTTGGATTGCCCAAACACACCTGAACGATGTCGTTGGAAAGTAGAAAAGATAAAAATTCTGTCCTTTCAGGAAAAATTGTGCATTTGACCAAAAATCCTTTCCAGTTTCTTTATAACTTGCATAATAGGAAAATGATTTTTTTTTCTTTTTTATTCTTTATTATTATTTTATTTATTGGTTTTATTTCATTTTCCCACAAAGTAAAAACAATTCTTAAGAATGTTTGATATTTTAACTTTTCTCAAAACTTAGTTAGATTTGAAAAAAAATTGATAAAGATAGTTTGTCATTAAATACAAACCTACAAATTAAATATTCATTAAATTCTTTGCATATATAAACAAAACTTACCAATTGTAGAAATTACTCTCATAAGAAAATAGATTTATTTTTATATATATATATATATATATATATATATATATATATATATATTATCTCTGCCTTTATTTCTTTTTCTTAGCATTTTCCTCTTATTTCTGTTTCTCTCTCTCTCTGTTAGTAATAACGTAGCTCCTTTCTTTCTCCACATGTAAATTCTTTTTTACCTTTTATGGGAAGATGTGGAACCAATTTCAAATCACTTAAAGGCAACTTCATCTACAATGATCAAACTGGGTTCATGTAATTTTTTTTCACTATAGCACTAGTCTAATGATAGAAGCATTTATTTTACACTAGCAGCATGGCCCGGCGTTGCCCATGCTTGATTCAAAAATTGTACGACTCATACAGAAATCGCTATCACTTAAAATTTTTTTGCCCTTCCTTGCCTTTAAAGGAGTGCCCTTTGCCATGCTGATGTTGCTACATACCTTACTTCCTGCCTATCTCACACTGCGAATTTTTTCTAAGCTCTATACTAAACATTAAATCTGTTATGAAAAAAGAACAAAAAAAAATGAACACAAAACGATCAGCTTTAAAAAAGGACTCGTAACTGGAAAAACCGAATGTTAACAACAAATAATTTTTCACACCCAACCCAGTTCTGCGGAATCAGAATCAACGTTGAGTTTAAGCAAGCAAATGAGCCAATTGGAGTAAAGTGCCATGCAGATTTAAATTTTTCCCACTTGTGACGAATGCAGCTATCGATTTTTTTTTTTTTTTTTTTTTTTTTTGCATGCTAGTTAACATTCATGTCAGTCAGCTGTTGGCTCTCACACTGGCCAATAGAATCTTCCTGCCTATTCGACTCACTCTGGCCAGTACAAAATAGCTGCAAACTATATGAAAACTGCCATAGAAGCATGAAAAAAATCGATTATTTCCATTATCAATGGGAGTTGGGAAATGAAAGTCGGTCTTGGCCTTCCCACTAACTTGGAGCATGTGCATGTAAATTTTGGTGCAAATCTGTAGAAAATTGCAGCCATGCATTCAACACACACACACACACACACACATCCTGCCTTTTATAGATAGAGATAATAAATATATATTTTTTTTTTTTTTACACTATATTCTCATTCTATGTTTATGTCTCGGGAGTGAATATTAATTATGTAAATTGAACATTATACAGTGGAAAATCCAGAAAAAAACAAAACAATCTCAGGCTATGAATTTATTGACGCATCCTTATTTGTGAATGTGAAAGAGATTGACATATAAAAAATTACTGTTATGATAACAGATCTAAAAAGTTATCGAATATTACAAATGAGTCATTTGAACAATCTAACAAAAACTGAAAAATTTCATTGATTTATGTTTTTTTAATCTAACTTGAAATCTCTAATGATGAAAAAAATTGAAAACAACATGACCTATGTTTTTGTATTCTGAACATATTGATTGTATCAATCGTATTATTTAGTTTTGAAAAAGAAACAGTATTTTTAAATGTATAAATATTTTGCATCTTTTTATTTTTAAGGGTTTGAATGTTGTGGACAAGGAAAAATTTTATAATTAATGTAATAAAAAAAAGACAAGCAGAAACTACTACAACAACAGTAGTTGGCAAAACAAAAAGAAAAAGATGAAAAATGGGACAAAAGATACTATAGAATAAGCTAACTGGTTATTGCTCCTCACTTGTCAGAACTCAGTTGAGGAAATTAAAATATTTTGTACACTAACTAAAAATATTTTAATTTTCTTGTTCAAGCTGTGAAGGGTAATAACTGTTTAACTTATTGTAGAGTGTTTTTTCTCATTTTTTTTATTTTCTCTCTTCATATTGCCAACTATTATAGTTTCTTTTTTGCCTGTGTTTTTATTGTCTTAATTAAATTTTTACACCTACAAATAAGATCTTTGAAAAGTTTTATAAATTTTTTTTGTCTATCACATTGAATAAAACAAAGAACACACACACATTATATATATATATATATATATATATATATATAAAGAAAATGAGAAAATTGATAGACATTTGCTGATACCTCCTGATGAATGAACTGAACAATTATGCAAAAGTTTATTTACATGTAGAGATGTTAAATATCACATCACTCAGCTAAGTGACAAAATTTATATTTGTATTAATCCTCTCCATATATATATATATATATATATATATATATATATATAATTTTGTATGTGCAGTACTTAGTGGAAAGCAATATCAATATCAGTGATAGCTAACATATTCACTTATATGGATGACTCATATCCATACAACTGAAATATATATTATCTAATATATATATATATATATATATATATATATATATATATATATATATATATATATATATATATATATATATATATATATATATATTAGATATATATATGTTATTAATACAGGAATTGAAATCAGCAAACTGAGTTCAAATTCTGACTGGATCTTTTTCATTTGTTACACATTGGGGAAATACATGTTCCTCTGGCTATGGGTTAACTATCAGGGCAGACTATTCTCTTTTTTCCTTGCATCTGGGGGAAGGAAATCTCTGAATTCAAACCTCTGTTGTTTTATGGAAATAAATCCAAACAAATAATTTGGAGTGGAATCTCTAAGGCCATTTATTGGTTGTTAGCATTGATCACCTCCTGGCAACTCCTGCAGCTAAGCTAGTACCTAATGTAATGCTCTGCACTCTTTTGAATCGTGTTAGTTTATCTGAGAGCAGGGTTCCATTTTCTGGGCAGTGCAAGGCCTCTATCCACTATTTCCCATATCTGCACCCTGGAGAGCTCATTCAAATCTTGCTACCAAGTCACTATCATTATCTCAGAATATGTGCACAGTTACATCAGTATGTTTATATTCTGAAGTATATATTTTACAAAACATATTTTTTTTTTCACCATAATCTCCTTCCTTACCAGTATACTTAATACTGAGCATTTGACAAAGTTTAACAAACGTACCTGCATAATGTGGTGTGAAAAGGATCTTTTTTTTTTTCTATTACTGTATACTCCCTCTTTTTTGCAGGCATGTTTGTTAAACTTCAACAAAATTTTTGTTGTAAATAAACAGTATTTAACATTTTTATTGTCAATTCTCAAGAAAATACACATAATTTCAGATGCTCTCAATGAAAACAATACCTGGAAAATTAATTTTTTCAATGTTTATAATTACAGTTACTTGTCATTAAGTTTTTATTTAAATCTTCTTGTTTATAGAAAATTTTATAAATTTATGAATAAAAATATTTGTTTTTATAGTTATTTCTTTATAATAAGTATTGCATTGTAGTTGGTTCGCATATTTTTATAATCTTGTAATGCTAAGAAAGTTGGTTTACTGTGTCATGCTAAAGAATTTTTCTCTCCAGAATCTATCTTACATATTTATAAGTCTACTATTTGTCCATGCTTAGAATATTGCAGCAATATATGGCCTGGTGCTCCTGCTATATATTTGATAAAATCCAAAGAATCTGCAATGTTATTGGTCCTGACCTGGTATCCCAGCTTTAGTCCCACCACCATAATGTAGCTTCCCTCTACATTTTCTATAAATACTTTCATGGCAATTGTTGATTACTCTTCTATTGTTCTTGGTCATTAATGTTTTTCTTATTCTTTCACACTCAGTAACCCCTTGTCTTAGTGGCTTTACTGCCTTGCATGGGATGAAATGTTTAAATTTATATATATATATATATATATATATATATATATATATATATATGGATAGTCATCCACAGACAGTGTTTTGCTGTTTGACTGCTCATCAGTGTGGTTAGACATCTGATTGCTTCAAGCCAGGATTGAAACCTGACTGATTTGGCATCAGTCAGAGATTTTCCCTTCAAGCCATCAGAACACGGTTGAAAGAAAGGCGAATCTTTATGTACTTATTCTGTGAATAAACACACCAATGACTGATACTGCTCAATTCGGAAAAGAGCTTTGTAATATTATTAGTAGTAGTCATTGTTTACAAATTCACGCTTATCTTCCAAGAGTGCACAAAATTTAAATTATTGTAAATAATCTAATAAATAAATAGTGTTTTAACATGTTTTTTTGGCAGGGGGTGGGGTGTTAATTCTTGAGGAAAAAAAATGTATAAATCCAAATTTAGGTTTTATTAAAATTATACTAAAAATAGCTTTTTAAAAAACAATAATAAAAATTGCCACAGCAGTATACATTAAAGGTGGTATTAAGAGAAAAATCTTTTTGACACAAGTTTTTCTTGTTTTTTTTTTTTTATTATTATTTTGCAGGGAGGTTTGTTAAATTTTGCCAAGTATTTTACAGTAAATCTTCAAATCTCAGCTAATAACTGTTTCAGGTTATTGACTTAATGTACTGTCTATCAATTTTAGAAGAATCATTAATATACCCAACATTTTTTAAAGGATCAAACCTCTTTATATATTTATTGTTGTTATCACATTTTGGTCAATACTTCATGATAACAACAGCAAATATCCTAAGAGATTTAAGCGTCTGAATAATATTGACTCATTGATCTACTCTCAAGTACATAGATTAGCCAAATTTTTATCTGAAAATTGTGTAATGTGATTAATATTTGCAAATGAATTAAGAGCATTCACATAGAAAGAGATTATACAGAAAAATATTTACTGTGTAATAAGAAATGCTGTTTTTGTTATTAGGGTATAAACTTATTGATATATTTTTATATATCTAAAAATATAAATATTTACATATAATATCCATAATTTCTGTTTGAATTTCTGGGATGGGGAATTATCATTATTGACATTTGGACTAATGTCTTCATCTTTTGTTGTTTTTTATGTTTCAGCTATTATGCCCTCTGACCTTAACCTTCAGGGTTAATATTTAATCTACAATGTTAGATTGTTTTCATTCCACTGTCTGGGTTTAGAAATATATTGTCTTGGCCCTTTTACTATTGCTCAATTATCACTTGCTTTGTTTTAATTAGGACTGAGTCTGCCCAGAGATTGAACTCAGAATTACTATTCCACTAAATTCACAAAGCAATGATTTAATGCACTAGACAGGCTAGATTAAATAAAAGGTTAAATTTAAAATTCCCTGAATGTTAATTGAATTGCCAGACACCTGAGGAAGGCTGGACATGACAATGGATGAAATATGATAACCACAAAGATTAGGACATTAGTTCAAATGTAAATAATAAAATATTCATGGGGCTTACAGTCATATCACATTCAAACACCAATTCTCATATGATCACTGAAGTTAAACAATGTTAAGCCTGGTTAGTAATTATATGGGTGACCGCTTGGGAATACCAGCTGCTATAAGCTTGGATGTGAGGGTGATGTAATGGATAATAGCTTGGAATTGGAAATTGGAGAGCAAAGTTCCAATTCCAGTCAGGTTTGTTATGTTCACTTACGTGTAAATGCCCTTGGGAAAGGTATGAATCCACCTCTTCCACTCCCACCTCCCAACTATGACTTGTATCATTAAAACATTATCTCAAAAAATCTTCTTACAATCTAAAAATATTTTCTAGTTTTAAATACCCTGCAAAAGGTTGATAAGCCATAAAAAAAAAAACAAATCACTCAACAAAATATTTGTTGTAAAACACTGTGCTTAAATTGGTTGTCTAGCTTGGAAACTTCTCTTTTTTTTTCTTTTTTTTTTTTTAATCTATCTTGTATGATATTTTCAGACAACTTATTTTTGCTTGACCTGTTTTCTTCATAGCACAAATATGAGGTTCTTTTCATGTTTCTGTATCTGGTATTCTATGTCCTGTTATTTGCATTGATGTTGACATGCTTCATGTCTTCCATTAACTGAAGAATGTAGCTTATTATTTTGGAGAGTTGTTGTATGACTAACCGAATATCTGTAGGATAGAAATGTGCTTGGTGGCTGAAATAGTTGAGGATTTCAAATACTGACTTTTCAGTGCAGATCCTCTTCCTACTCCTCTCTCTTGACCTCTGTCTGACTGAACTAAAGATCAGTACCATGCGTAAGTAAGGTTCCCTATTGAGTGGCATTGATTATAGTACAGATGGTTCCATGTTTGGACATGGAATCAGTTTTATGTAAAATTCATATTCAAACATACTTAGTATCAGTTTGTTTCCTGATGGCATTGAGCAATATTATTAGTTATGATTATGACATTCAAGATTTTTTTTTTGTGTGTCTCTCTCTCTCTCTCTCTCTATATATATATATATATATATATATATATATATATATATATATATATATATACACACACACACCCCAAAATGCGATACCTAAGGTTTGAAATGCATTTTAAAAATGAAAAATCATTCTTGAAATGTTTGAGTTTTAATTCCAAGCTAATAGATTAAATTTAATATTTGCAAGAAGCAAAATACTTTGCTGTATTTCAAACTGTATCTAAATTAATTGGAATTTTTTTTTATCAGTAAAATTGGCCATATTAACAAATCTGTCAACACAACATAATTTGCTTTATTATAAACATCTTTCAAACTGATTTAAAGTTTAATTAATCTGAATTAAAACAATTGCTTACTTTTAGTTTAAAACATTGCTGAAAAGCATTTTTTAACACACGTGTGTGTTTTTATGAGTTGCTGACACATTGATAACCTAATGTTTGTGAGTTTTATGTAAGGGGGAAATAATTGTAGTCACATTCCATAACAAATACAACATAAACACCTTTTTTTTTCTTTTATTTATTTGCTCAATAATCTTAAAATTTTAAATATTTTAAGCATTCTAATATTTCATTGAATTTTTGTGGTACTTTGGATAGTCTTTCTTTTGAAGACACTTGTTGAGGAAATGTTAGAAAATTTCCAATCAATTTTAATTTTACTATAGTACCACTCTTATTTTCTGATAATGTGTATGGACGTCGGTATTTACAAAAATCAGCACATTTATACATACATGCATGAAAAATTCAAAATTCTTTTTAAAATACTAGGGATGGGGCACTTAATTATAGTCAACTTTTCAATTTATGATTAGCAAATATACTTTTTATTTAAAACCAATATTATTTGACTGCTACAAATTGATACAGGATTTAAAAAATTTAAAAGTTTATAAATTATTTTAATTAAAATTTTTAAAAAATGAAATCAGTTCTTGTAAAAATTCATTATACATTGAAAAAATTTTTTTGTTAAGACAAGGTTGTCCATAATATATTTTATTCATGAAAATAATTCAAAGCTTTTATAATTAATGTTTTAGTTTTATTGCATTCTTTATTTTTTTTATTCCTAGCAGATTTTCTGTAATTGTGGCTCTATTTGACCAAAAAAAAAATTGATGATAAATGTGGCACAAAAAAGAATTTCTCAAAATTAAATAAGTGTGGGTTAACAAGTGTAAAAAAATATTTTTACCAACATTTTCTAAAAAAAGAAACCTTTAAAAAATAATTTAATGCAATTGTGGATAAGTCTTGAAAATTTAATTAAAATCTGACAATTATCTGATTTTTGCAAGAATTTCCAAATCAATGTGTTTTTTCACTGCAAAAAGATGCTCAAATTTCCCATACAAATTTATGGTCCCACATTGACACTAGAAAAAACAAGATTTTTTTTAACCAAAATTTTGTAGTTTCTAAAAAGGATTTAAAAAAAAATATAATTTTCTTTTCTCTTAATAATAGCAATGATTTTGGCAATAAAACATTGTTAAGATTTGGACAATGTTTTTCATTATGTATGTTCATTTTGCAAAAAGATTTTGAATGTACTTTATATATAATATATATATAGTGCAATTATCAGTCCTATTCACAAATACATATGAAAGCAATAGAACTTTGCAAACACTGTATCTGCTGAATAAGGCCACAAAGGAGAATCTAATTATACTTTTTTTCTTTCTTTTTTTTTTTTTTTTAACATTTTTACTTTTCTTACATTTTTACCTCGACAATGGCTAGGTCTCTATTGATTGTTTGTGAAATGAATACAAAAATCATGCCTCCTGTAACATGGGAAACATAAATTGTTTTTTTTTTTTTTTTTTTTAAACTAGCTGTTACCCTCCTACTTATTCCAGATATTTCCGTTTTAATCAGTAAAAAAATAAACTTATTTTACAAAAATGATTACTGATACCAATTTTAATGGAAAAAATTTTTTTTTTCAATTTTAAAGCAAATAATTATGTATTATTATTTTTTTTTTTTTATATCTGTATCTATATAACACTAAATAATGGATTTTTGTTTGTCTCCTAATATAACCTCACTGTAGTTGAAATGAGGCAGTACAACTGGAGGTATTGGATTTAGCTGCTTTAACATAATGCAAAAAAAATATTCCGTGTGAATACATAACTGAATAGAATTCAGAATATACATTCAACTGGAATAAACAATTTTTCAAGGGAGATAACTATTAATTGCAATTAAAGAGTATTATACCTTTTTTCAATCATTTCATCCCAAGCAATGCAATAAAGCCACTAAGACGCAAGGGGAAGGGGTTTACAGAGAGAGGAAGAATCTAAGAAAAAAATTATTATGGAGAGAGGAGACAGAAGATAACAATTGACATTGCATTTAAGTAAGAGGCCGGAAGTGAGTTCTGCAAGCAAGAAACGCAAATGAAGAAACTGTTATCAAAGAACTTATGATTGCATCTAGGCTGCACACTTATTGATACACACATACACATTATTTTACTTGAAATATTATATATATTGTATTAAGATGTTTTTAAACTTAAAGAATTTACATTTATATAGATTAAGTTATTTGATTTGCAATACAGTAGTAAAGGATATGTTTTAAGAGCTCTAGCAGATGCCTAAATAACAAATAGTGTTCTATGTGCCATCTCTCTTCAGGATGTGGACGATCATGGCTCTCCACAATTTTTGGTCCTTTGTAGCTCTTAGTAAAGTTTGTCTTGTTGCTATTTCCCCCAATCTCTGTTCTGCCAACCAGATGCACAAGCTTGTTAGGGAGGTTATATGTTGCTTTTCTCTGTCTCTCTTGCCTTCAATATGTCCTAAGTATTTATTTCTATTTTCTGTAAAATTTTGTTGTTGCTCACATGTTCAGGACATGGTATTCTCAGCATCTTTCTGCAGAACTACATTTCTGTTGCCTCAAGTTTCTTTATCTGTGATGAGTACTGAACCATATATATATATATATATATATATATATATATATATATATATATATATATATATATATATATATATACACTTTTTTTTTTCTATACATATATATCAATGATAAAGTTTAATTTAAAAGTTGAGCACAAGAAAGGATGAAAAATTATGACAGAATGTTTATTCTTAGTAATCACAGAATATAAATGTTTTTCTTTCTTTTAGTCAGAAACTTTATCTTTTCACTTAAAAAAGAAAAGAAATACTTTGCAACATTTTGGGGGCATATTTAAATTTCCAGCAACATTATTCTTGTGCTCTAAGATCATTCTTCTTCTGTGTCACTTCAGGACGTTGGCAATTGTGGCTCTCTAAAATTTCCTGTCATTTGTAGCTCTTAATAACTTTTGTCTTTTTGTCATATCTCCCAAACCCTGCTCCACCATCCATTCAATCAACCTGACCAGGTACATTGTGTGTTGCTTTCCTCTGGCTCTCTTCTATCTTCAATCTTTCCTGTGAGTATCACATTTTTCAAGCCCTCTTTCCTCATGATGTGCCCTATAAATTTGAACTGTATCTTTCTGATGTTATGTATGCATTCTTATTGTTGCCATTGTCTCTAGAATTTCATCATTGCTCACATGAAGTCTATGGTATTTTCAGCATCCTTCTGTAGAACCACATTTCTGTTGCTTCATGTCTTCAAGTATGAGATTGCCTTGCATTCACTGCCATATAGGAGGACTGATATTATGTAACACTTCAGTACTCATTTCTTTGTTTTTAATATTTTCTAAGTTGAACTTATTGATTAAAATTTTTTTTAAATACTCATTAGAATACAAACAGAATTCTAACATCTAAGTTTCCTGTTTTTTTTTGTTTTTTTTTGTCACTAAAGAATTGTCTTTGTTTTATAATATTAGATCCACTCAAAACATCTAAGTAAATTTGATATAAAGAATTTTTTAATGAGGTTTTTCTAGGAGGCTACTTCTTTCATTTATAAATATCAAACATTTCTTTCATGTATTAACTTGCATTTGTGTCTTACATTTTCAAATGTCATGCTTCAATATCTTTGCTGTCTTTGTGTCGCAAAATAAATAGAACTGATCCCTATTCTATTGTCACCTGTAAGAGTACATTAACAAGTTTTAACTTTGGTTGATTTTGTTTAGCA